TCACACCTTGCAAATGTGCACAGCCCTATTCTCTGAATGAATGGCAAGTACCCTTCGTTTGTCCTGGTTAAATATTACCATTCCCTGAATATAGGATTATCCTACACATAGTGGCTCCAGAGAAAATTTAACAGAAGTATAGAGTCCAAATTCACCTGAATCTCCAGCCAAATTCTAACAAGCCTGGCTCCAGGTGCAAACCATAAAGGCAAGAATATTCCCATCTGGGCAGCTTTCTGGCGTTAGCCCTAAGATATAAAAACCTTGACACTCTCAAATTTCTTAAGACAATGCTCCTGTTCCATAGGACAGTGGTACCAGGTCCACTTCATGATTCTAAGAATTCCCAAAGTTACAGTTAAAACTGGACAACCCTCTCTGGGAAGTGGCAAAGTCCTCATGTCTATGCAGGGAACTCCATGTAACTTTCTTCACACCCAAATCACTTTTCTGCCACCACTTTCTCCTCCCACAGGAGAAAAATGTTTCAAATCCTTGAGAAGCAATCACAGCACTGAGATTATCTTTTAACTGCAAGGAGGCAATGTGTGAAAGTGAGATTGTGATTTGGCAACTCTGAACACTGAAAGGCTTCCTCTGTTCAGCATCACCACCTCTTCTACTCCCCCTCTTGAGATCACTGTTCTCTGTCTGGGAAAATCTGGCAAAAGGACCAACTAAGAAAGCAGCTCTGGCATTTGCCTGGGTGGTCTGACTTTTACCAACTACGAAAAATAAAATGTACAGTACAGTGCCTCCTTTTAGCTTTCCACTTCTTCAATACCTGACAAGACTTAGTGAGAAACTTTACTTTTGGGGCAGACACCCTAGAATCTTTCCACAGCAGGAACCCAAATACCCAGAAGTACCAAGCAGACATGCCATAATTAACAGAGGCATTAGGGGTGTGCCAGTGGAGGTTGTGAAATGGTCAACACTTGGCTTGCAGTTTTCTGCTTCCTCCTAGGACTTTGGTAAGCCTCTGCTGCACTCTTGTGACTTTCCACACATAGTTTTTACTTTGCAGGAAGTTTTCTAATAATCCCAACTATAACCACACTTAAGGAAGGGGTCATAAAAGCCCATGCCAACATCATGGGGTGTGAATAGGGGCTTGATAAAGAACTTGGATGAGGAAGTCAACAATGCACTGGGAGTTTCACTGGCTTTCACAAGAGTAAGAAACAAGGTTCCAGTTGAATAACTTGAGAAATGCTGGGTCAAATAAAGTTGAGCAGATTTCTTTATTTTATGATTTCTTAACAAACAAATAAGACTTGTTACCTTCAAGAAAGATGGAATAGGCTGGGTGTGATGGCACATGCCTGTAATCCCAGTAACTTGGGAGGCTGAGGCAGGAGGAACACAAGTTCAAGGCCAGCTTCAGCAACTTAGCAAAGCCCTAAATAGCTTAGTGAAACCCTGTCTCAAATAAAAAATAAAAATAAAAAGGTCTTTGGGGATGTGGCTCAGTGATTAAGTGTCCTGGGTTAAATCTCCAGTACCAGGAAAAAAAAAAAAAAAAAAGGAATAGGTAGGGATTCCCAAACCTATCTGACCACCTTTCAAAACTACCATTACCCAGAACATATACTGGTTTAAACTACTACCTTAAAAAAGCACAATAAGGGGGCTGGGGTTGTGGCTCAATGGTGGAACATTTGCCTGGCATGTGTGAGGCACTGGGTTTGATTCTCAGCACCACATATAAATAAATGAATAAAATAAAGGTCCATCAACAACTAAAAACTACATCTTTTTTTTTTTTTTTTAAAAAAAGGATACACTAAGGGTTGAGCTCATTAGCAGAGTACACGCTTAACATACTCACAATTCTGGATTCAATTCCGTGTGTGTGTGTGTGTGTGTGTGTGTGTGTGTGTTGTGTGCGCATGCGTGCCCTAGCACATAAAACCCACACAATAAATCTGTATTATTTCATCCCTCTCACCCTGAGGGTTGGGGAGAGCTTAGCTAATAATAATTGGTTATTTTCACCACTACCAGTACTCCAATTTCTAGAATGGTGATAATAGTAATGATGTTACTCTTTCCTTAGCTAGCCTAAAATAACCTCAAAACAGTTTAATGTCTAAGATTCAAAAACCTTTAAAACAATCAGGTATGGTGGTTCACACCTGTAATCCCAGGGACTGAGGCAAGAGGATTGCAGGTTCGAAGCCAGCCTCAGCAACTCAGCAAGGTTGTAAGCAACCTAGGAAGACCCTATTTCAAAATAAAAAATAAAAATGGCTGTGGCTGGGGATAAGTGGGTAAACGCCCTTGGGATCAATCCCTGGTGCAAAGAAAACAAAAAACCTTTAAAATAGTATTGTCCTCAGAATGAAGCCCAGGTCTAAGCCTCTTCCCATCACTAATTTACTGGTGACTCAGGCATGTTTTAGTTTCCATATCATGAAACTGAAAAGGTTAAAACAAATTTCTAACCTTGTTCCCATTTCTAGCAGTTAACCATGGACTCTGAACACTAAGTATATTTTTGCAATCCTCCATTATATGACAAGACAGGGGAAAAAAAAAAAAAAAACTGTTCTGGAGGCTGACTAGGTGTGACAGTTTCTGAGTCTATCGCCTATCCACCTGCTCTTTCCTGAGCTCTGTGCCAACACCTTAAGTAAATGAAGCTGGGTTCACACCCAGTCTCCCAAGGGCTGCACCCTTCCAATGTCCCAGCCTTGGCAGTCAGGGAAGCAGACAATTTCATCTTAAGGAAAGAGAGGAAAGCTGTGACCACAAGGAGGACACTGGGGGCCGCATATCCAAAGCTGGTTATTTATTTATTTATTTTTGATACCAGGGATTGAATCCAGGGGTGCTTACCCACTGAGCTACATTCCCAGCTCTTCTTATTTTGAGACAGAGTCTTACTAAGTTGCTGAGGCTGGTTCTGAACTTGCAATCCTCCTGCCTCAGCCTCCCAGCCCCTGGGATTATAGGCATTCACCATCATACCCAGCTCCAAAGCACTTTCTCTCTACACAACTGCAAGCCACGAATTAGGCACACACCTATAATCCCATCCACCCAGGAGATCCTGTTTCAGAAACAAAACAAACAAAAGGATGGGGATGTAGCTCAGTGGTAAAAGGCCCCTGGGTTCAATTCCCAATGCTAAAAACTAAAATCAGCACAGGATGAGGGGGAGCAGTACTACAGCCAGCCAGTTTTCTTCTTCTCATACAAGGTTCCCTACCAGATGTTGCTGGTTTATATGCTAACAGCTGCTTCCTGTCCTGCTATATCCGGGGGCTGTCTGATAGGCAGACTATCTTGCTTGAATGCAGAAGTTATTTCTCTCACAGTTTGCACAATCATTTCTGGGACCAGAGATGTGGTTTAAGACTTTCAAGGAGCTATTAATAAAGGTCAAAATAATCCTGCTACTGCTAACAGTGAAGAAAAGCTCTCTGCTTCTTTGGATGGCCAACTGCTTCTGATGTCAGCAGAAATTGTGATCCTGACAGGACAACCCTCACCCCAGTAAAAAAACAAAACAAAACCACCCATTTAAAAAGCTACTGGAGCCTTCCTAGTATTATGCAGCAGTTTTATAATTAAAGCAAAACTGTTACAATTGGCATTGACAGGAAAAAATGCAAATGTTCTTTCCTTACCCAACTAATAGAGATGACTTATATAAGAGACACGGTCTCTGCAAGAGCTCTGTCAAGAAGCATTAAGCTACATGAGGAATGCTCAGAATTCTCCAATGTTATAAGGAACATGCTACCAAAATATGCCTTGAGGGTTTCCATCGGCTAAAAGTCACCTTGAAACCATGAAAGAATCATAAAATTTTCACTTTCCTGATAATATATAATAATTTAGTTCAAGTCTCTTTTGCTCTGACCTTTGAAGAGATTCAAGGTGGGAAAGCTTATGCTGTGAGTCACAGGAAGGACCCCTCCAAGATTTCCCTGATAACTGCAGGAAACTTTGAAGCTGCCAATGACCAAAATAAAGTACAAACAGGATGAGTTAACGTGCCTAGTGACAACCTGACAGAGCAGAAACATCTGTGCTCATAAATCACTAGTCAGCACAAGTTGGCTTCTTTAAAACTGTTCTTGAGCAGACACAAAAGAGGCACAGGTGCCATTCAGCTAATAGGAGTTCCAGCCTTTCACTGGCAAAAGAACATCCTTGTGCTTTGCTCAAAAGCAGGAAGGTTTCAGCTTTAGATAGGAAGACTGTTTCTTTCTTGTTTGTTCCAAAGGTCAGGCCCAGTTCATAGGACAGTCTCAATTACCCTGTCCTACACTTAGGTCCATCAGACCAACATTCTTTTGCTTCAAGACTCTTCCTGGGCTCTCCTATCCTCTAAAACCCACCCCAAACTAGACCCATAGCCAAGGTGTGGAAATTATTAAGGCTATTTTAAAATTGAGAGGCATTGGAAATGGCTTCAATGTTACAAAACTTGAGCTATCTACCTACCCTCTCCTATTATTTTTTTCCTAATAAACCTCAGGGACTCTCCTATACTTTACATGCTAGTTTAGCTGCTGGTGGTGGAGGTGGAGAGTGCTTTGGTTTTCTCACATTTCTCCATCACCGTAGGCTTCTAAGTTCCTCATCATGTTGCTGTCACCTCCTGAGGTGACTCAAGACAGGTGTCTTTTCAAGACTGCAGAAATGTAATAGTCATATTGTGCTACCCTCCCTGACACTAAGGCATCTCCCCAAGGGTCCGACTGCCTCTCCAGTACCCTTCTCCACAGTGAACGGCCAAATCAGAAGGACTACATCCCCAGGTGCTTGAAGATCCCACCTCTTCCCAAGCTGCAGCGCCCCGCCCCTTTCGCAGTTCCACCTGCTGCTAGTCCCGCCCCCAGACGCTATGATAGGCCTTCCCTCAGAGCTCGCTCTCCCATTGGACAAATAGCCCGTCCCTCCTACGCCACGTCTCTCGGCTCTGGCGAAAAAGGCCCGGGCGGCGGCCCTTGGTTCTAGATAGATCTGTAAGTTGGGAGTCCTACCTGGAAGGGGTTTACGTCCACTGGGTCCGCAAATGGGTTGGTGTCGAAGGCCGACATGGCGGTCGAGGGCCAGCGGGCAAGCTCCGCGAGCGCTGCTGCCTCCGGGCACCCAGACCCAGCAGCGCTCTCTCTAGATCCTCCACTTCCGGGAGCGAGGCAACCGTTCTAGCGCAGGCGCAGCGCCCGCCCAGGGGGCGTGTCCCTGCAACGTCACAGAGGCTCACTCCGCCTCCTGCCCAGCCCACTTGAGAACCATGGGTGGGCTTTCTGTTTCCATCCACGTCTTCGCTGTGTAGATGCTTCCAGGGTTGGGGTAGCACAGAAGAAGTAGGACCCAGGGGCCGGATCCTAGTCATTCCCAACTGTCTCAGTCTGATACCTTCCAACTTTGAGTTTCCAAAGTAAACTCTCAAAAGTGGGACAGGAAACTTATTTCTTTCCCTAGAGTGCAAGTTTGGAAATTCTACATAGTTTCGAGGGCGGGGGACAAGGGTAAGAAGTCAAGCAGAAGGGTTCTCCTTTGAAGAACAATCCTCCAAGAAAGAGAAAGACGAGGACTGTGCAGCTCCTTTTAGGGATAAGGATTTCTTGACCCACACGGTGGGAATTTGAACCTGGTCATCAGGCATTTATTAAGTGAACGAGGGAGTTCAGTAATGGATTTTCGGTCATAGAGGAGATGGCTAATTCACTCCCCACAAGTTCAACTTTTTTATTCCCGTCTTTCTGGCTTTGTTCATTTCTGCTGTGTAATCCAATTACTATAATTTCTTAACCTGGACTAGAACAAAGCTGCTAATTGGTCTATGGTTATTCATGTTGTAACCAGAGATCTTTTTTTGTTGTAGTTTTTTTTTTTTTGAAATGGGGTCTCCCTATGTTAATTAGGCTGATCTCTAACTCTTGGGTTCAAGTGGTAACTCCCATCTCAGCCTCCTTACATAGCTAGGACTAAAGTGTGCACCACCATGCCCAGCTCCATAGATCTATTTAAAGGAAATAAAATCATAAAACCTGTTGTTTAATTTTTGTACAGATTAAGTTCTCAATTTGGCCTCAAGTTATGGCAGGATCTGCTCCCACCTATCCTCCTTCCCAACCCTTTCTCCTGCCCAGCCTCCTGCATTCCATCCTTTCTAGTAGCTTTTCAGTTCCTCCGGTTGTGTCTTTTTCTCCTGTGTCAGGGCCTTTGCACTGACTGGTATGCCTTTACATCCTACCTCACAATTATTCTCTAACTAATCTTTTAAGGGCTGGAGATGTAGCTCAACCGTAGAATGCTTGATTAGCATGCATGAGGCCTGGGTTCAATTCCTAGTTCCATAGAGCAAAAAAAGAAATGGTACTCAAATTTTTCTTCAAATCTAAGCCTCAGGCTCTTTCTTCAGAAGTGGTATTCCTTCTCTTGATTAGATCAACCCATCATGCATTATAAGCTATCATATTGCTCTGTACTTTTCCTTTATAATGCTGGTTGCAGATTGTAATATAATGCATATTTGTTTTTCACTAGACATAACCTCCACAGGGGCAGAGGTGAAGTCTCTTTTGCTAACTGTTGTATTTTTGGCACTAATATAGTATCAAACACATGATAGGCATTTAGTGAATATTTAATTTTTCTTTCACCAACTTCCTCTCCTTTAAGCCCCAACTATCTGTGAAGGTTCAATTGAACTTTTCTCTGGGAAATATCCTCAAGTGGGAGGATGTGATGTGTGTCCCCTTTGAAAGTGCCTACCTTTCAGTCTCTATGGCCACCCCTCCAAAGGCAGAGAAATTTGCTATCTGTGGCCTAAGACAAGAACAATCTATATAGCCTAAGGCTTTCCTAACCTCCTCCTGGACTGCTGCAACCTAGTACAGTGCTGAGCTGGTAAGGAAGGAATGAAATTGATTATAACCAATGTGGAGGCTTCCCACCCATCTGTCCTAGGCTCTGTCCACTTTCCTGTGAGAAACCAGAGACTATTCATTTTTTTACTTTTTTTTTTTGTACTGGGGATTGTGTCTAGGAGTTTGCACACGCTGGGCAAGTACTCTATCATTGAGCCACACCCTCTGCCCCTTTTATTTTTTACTTTTTAATTTTTTTAGTTGTAGATGGACACATACCTTTATTTTATTTATTTTTATGTGGTTCTGAGGATCGAACCCAGTGCCTCAACTGTGAGAAGCAAGTGCTTTATCACTGAGCCACAACCCCAGCCCTGCCCCCTTTTATTTTTGAGACGGGATCTTGCTCAGTTGCCTAGGTTGGCCTCAAACTTGTGATGCTCCTGCCTCAGCCTCCCAGGTAGCTGGATTACAGACATGTACCACTGTCTCATTTATTCAGTAAGGAAGGAGATAGCAACATGGAACTCTGTGCCTTGGATGAGTTACTTCACCTTATTGAGACCAATTTTTCTCAGCTCTAAAATGGGGCTGGTGGACTGGGAATATAACTCAATGGTAGAGTGCTTGCCAAGCATGCACAGGACCCTGAGCCTTGATTCGGTCCCCAGCACCACCCACACACAAACCATTAAATGGTGCTAGGGACAGTATGTATCTCATAGGATTGTCTTGAGAATTGACAGAAAAACTCTTTTTTTTTTCTCCCTCTACTCTTGCAGCAAGTCACTCAATACTTTTTTTTTTTTTTAATCCAGGGCCTTGTGCATGCTAGGTTCCCCACCACTGAGCTATATCCCCACTGAGCTATGTCCCAGCATTCAACACAGCACTTCTGACATCAGATGCAGCAGTTGTTTCTCTAAACACGAAGCAATTCTCCAGTGGACACCAACTGAGTGTTCTATAATTCAACTCAATTCCAACACTATCCTCCTGGAGATAGATAGTTCCCAAGTCAGTCCCACAGGTGAGTTCACAAAACTGCCCCTCACACTTCACATATCCCAGGTTGTTTTACCTGTGCTTCTGTCTGGCTATAAATCAGGGTTCCCAGGACCTCCTCCTTAAGTTCAACAGATTTTCTAGAGTGGTTCCCAGAACTCAGTGAAACATTTATCAGTTCTTTGTGTTGTTTTTTGATACCAGGGATTAAACCCAGGGATGCTTAACCACTGAGCCACATCCCCAGCCCTTTTTATTGTTTTATTTAGAGACACAGTCTTGCTGAGTTGCTTAGGGCTTGCTAAGTTGCTGAGGCTGGCTTTGAACTCATGATCCTCCTGCCTCAGCCTCCCAAACTGCTGGCAGTACAGGTGGGTACCACTGCCCAGCACTTTATCAGTTTATTATAAAGAATATTACGGGGCTGGGGATGTGGCTCAAGCGGTAGCACGCTCGCCTGGCATGCGTGCGGCCCGGGTTCGATCCTCAGCACCACATACAAACAAAGATGTTGTGTCCACCGAAAACTAATAAATAAATATTAAAATTCTCAAAAAAAAAAAAAAAAAGAATATTACAAAAGAGGGCTGGAGTTGTGGCTCAGAGGTAGAGTGCTTTCCTAGCATGTGTGAGGCACTGGGTTCAATCTTCAGCACCTTTATTTTAAAAATAAAATAAAGATGTTGTGTCCACCTACAACTAAAAAAGAAAGAAATATTTTTTGGGGGGGCTGGTGTTGTGGCTCAGCGGTAGAGCTCTCACCTGGTGCGTGCAAGGCCCTGAGTTCAATTCTGAGCACCACATAAAAATAAATAAATAAAAATAAAGGCATTGTGTACAACTAAAAGAAATAAATATTTAAAAAATATTTAAAAAAGAATATTACAAAAGAAACAGACTAACAGCTAGATGGAAGATATGAATAATGCATGACATATGGGAAGGTCCACAGAGCTTTTATGCCCTCAGCAGAGTGCCTTCCTCTAGGAACCTATATGTGTTCAAGCTATCTGGAAGCTCCCCAAATCTGACAGGGTGTTTTTCTTTTTGTTTTTATGCAGGCTTCATTACCAGGCATTATTGATTATTACATCATTGACCATTGGTGATCAACTCACTCTTCAGCCCATATTCCCTCCCTGGAGGCTGTGAGATTAGGGATGAAATTTCTAATTATCTAATCACTTGGTTGGTTCCCCTGTCAACCAGTCCCTATCAGAGGCTTATTCAGGAGCAAAGAGGAAAGCAGATCATCACTAGATAATGGAATGTGGTCAGTTCTAGAAGAGCTAGACCTGCAAGAGCAAAGAGTGGAAGGTATTAAGTTCTCCAGACACCCTAGTTTCCCTTACAGACAAATCTTTCTGTGTTTATTGAAGGATATAAGGTAGAGGTTTTGTCTGACCAATAATCTAAGTTCTTCCTTTCCTGTGCAAGGATACTCTGAGGAAGTAACTATAACTCTGGTTTCTTTCTTTTTTAAAAATGTTTTTAATCATAGATGGACATAATGTCTTTATTTATTTATTTTTTATGTGATGCTGAGAATAAAACCCAGTGCTTCACACATGCTGGCTAAGCACTCTACTACTGAGCCACAACCCCAGCCCCAAGAGGTTTTGCATTTCTGAAAAGGGCTCCTTTGGTTTCTTTCTTTCTTTTTCTTTTTCTTTATTGGTGGTACTGGGGATTGGACCCAGGGGAATTCTATCATTGAGCCACAACCCAGCCCTTTTTATTTTGAGACAGGGTCTTGCTAAATTTTCCAGGCTGCCCTGAAACTCCTGCCTCCTCCCAAATCACTAGATTATAGGTACATGGCATCTGCCCAGCTCAGCTCTTAACTGGTTTCTTCGGTGGTGGTAATGGGAATGTTTCGAGAATCCCTGTGCTGCCAGGCATGGTGGCGTATGCCTGTATCCCAGCAGCTCAGAAGGCTGAAGCAGGTGGATCATGAATTCAAAACCAGCCTCATCAATTTAGCAAGGCCCTAAGCAACTTAGCCAGATCCTGTCTCTAAATAAAAAAATATATATATTTAAAAAGGGCTGGGGTTATAGCTCAGTGGCAGAGTGCTTGCCTTGCACATGTGAGGTTCTATCCTTAGTACCACATTAAAAAAATAATTAAATAAATAAAGTAAAGATATTGTGTCTATATTAAAAGAAAACTCTTTTTAAATGCGTGGTGGGGCGGGGGGTGCTGGGGATGTGCCTAAGCCACCCTGGGTTCAATCCCTGGTAGCAAGACAAAACAAACAAACAAAGAATCCCTCTGCTTAAACAAGTCCCTCACTCTTATCCCAGAAAGTTGGTATTGC